TGAACTTTATAGTTCCCATTTTCGAAGATTTCTGGAGCATCCCTATAACTGCCAGAGAAAACCTTTGTGTGCCACTGATTCTCACTCCCTGCTTCCATATCAACGCTGATTATGTGTCGTTTATAAAAGGCGGATAAACCAGGCAGCTTCAGAGCTGGGCATGATTGTGTGGTGTAACCGACGACAAGTGGGGATCCAGAAATTTTATGAAAATCAAAAAGAGCTAGTAGAAGCTTGGAAGGAAGATGAGAAGATTCTCAACACAGTTGTTGATCACGAAGCCAAAGCTAAAAAGGATCAGCGAACAAAGGTGAGTGGATGGGCATACTCCACGAGTGGCAATTATAAACAAACCCGTAAAATGGATCTTGTATACAAAAACAACCTTTTTTACTGCTGATACATCTCCATGAATCAATTTAACTATTATCTTGACTTTGGAATACGCTCTTATCGCGCTTTGGGGAAACTCTCGCTGTCTGTTGTGATAACAGAAACAGCCGAACAAAGCCGATAACGGAAAAGATAAACTTTTTTCTTCTACAAGGCGATAATGCACGTTACGCGAACCAAAGATCGCCCGCTCGAAAAGTATCGTAAACGCAAGATTGGAGATGATGAATTTTAAGTCAAAATAGCGAAGCTAGTAACTAAGTGACTGCCCAACGTTGTAGAAGGATTGAAATCGGGAAAACTGTTACAGAATTTGCACTTGAATGTTGACACACGCCGTCATTGCGGAGCTAGCGAGGTGGTAGACATGCAATGTTCGAAATCTGTCTTGTGATGGCGGACCCCCAACTAATCTATCAGTAAAATTCAGAGCGAAAAAGCGCTTCTGGAAAGCCCAAGAGCCCCTCCGAAAGTCTTCCGGACCCGCACACTTCCTGACCCCACCCACTTCTTATATGTAAGTTGGAGCGGAACGAGCGGACATGAAGAGCTTAAACAAGCTCATTTTTGCCATTTACAAGCACTGAGAAGCCTAGATATGGCTACAGCATGGCGAGAAGGCTCCGAAGAGGTGAGAAACCGGAGAGCGAATTTGCCGGGACACTGCGTAAAACGCTAAACTGCGCAGACTGCACTGCAGGGCTACAGCAGAGATTC